AGAGTCCCGGGCCATCAAGCTCGGCCGCGCCCCCGGCCAAGGCGCTGCCGCCACGGCCGCTCGCGGCCACCTGAGGCTCCACACGCCCCGGGCCGAGCGCCCCCCGCGCCGCCGCCGTGCGGAGCCCCCCGGAGAGCGGCCCTTGCAAGAACAGCGCCGGGAGGAGGCCTCTCCGCTGCCCCTTTACACGGGGACGTGCAGTTGTAGTAACTGCTCTGAGGTTACGCGCGTTGCTTTCCATGAAAGCCACTTATTATTATTTTATTATTATTATTGTTATTGTTATTATTATTATTTGGATTGTTCTAAAAGGAGATACCGCTTTAAATTTTATGAAAATAAAAAGTTTTGGTTAGAAGTTAAGAGAGATGTATATTGTTACATTAAAATGGGAAGAAACTGCGCCAAAAAGACGCAAGCCAAGGGATTTTTCCGTTTGTAGAGAGACTATTGCACTCGATCATGAGCAGCAGAGGAGAGAGGGAGCCCGTGAGGCCCAGAGGAGCTCTGCTAGGAGCCGTGTTGAGCGCCGCCCGCTGCGGAGCCCGCTCTGCCCGCGGGGGTCGCCGCGGAGCCAGGGCCCATGGGCTGCTGCTGCCAGAGCCACGGGCTGCCGAGTCCCAGTCGGCGGCCTCGCGCGGGGCAGCCCCTGTTTCGTTCAGGACACTCAGAAAACACAGGACAAACACGGCTCTGTTCAGCTCGCTTTTAATTTGACGTTTATTTCTTCCCGTAGCTGTTCCCTGCCCTGCTAGGAGGTGTCCCGACTGTGGCTCCGGGATAACGAACCTGCAGCCCTTTCCCGAGTGCTCATCCACGCACTGCGGAGCGGGGGGAGCTGCCTGGAGGGAGCCGAGCTGCGAGGGGGCTGCACGGCCTGTGGCTCTGGGAGGTGCTGGGCCCAGTTTTGATGTAAGGTGCTGCAAATGGCACTCTGATCGTCAGCATTGAAATAACAGGCAGGCCGCGTTTATCCTCGGCATTTATGCACTGCTCTTCTCCCCTCTTTTTTGGACAAAACCGTTTTATTTGTGGCAGGTAGGTGAATATAACTGGAGTTCAGCTTGGGCGCTCCCTGAAGGTATTCCCCGTTGGAAAAAATGCAGTTGTTGTTTTACTTCCAAGAGAAAAAAATGTGCGAGGTTCAAGCAGCCCAGCAGGAGCTGGTACTGATGGCAGGCGCTGCAATTCAAGTTGCATCAGAGGGCTCTCATTAATTAGAGGGCTTTTTTTGCAGTACCCCAAGAAGGTCAAGCAACAGGGAAAGAAAAATCTCTGCCAACCAACAGTCCCCTATGCCCAGGGGCTGTGATGGCCGGTGGTGAGAGGGGGAAAGCGCTGGCACCGGGAGCGCGTGGGGAGCGCTGCTCCCTGAGCCGCTCCGGCTGCTGCTGCTCCCAAACGACGGGATCCGAGATGGTACCGCCTGATAGGTCATGTTCAGTGTTCCTCCCCGTGTGTGTGGCATATATATATGAGAGAATATATATATATATATTCGTTTGGGAGTCTGGAATCACTCTGGTATGTGGATTTAAGAGTAAGCTATTAGGGATGATAAAGCACTAAATAAAAACGTAATATTTATTTATGAAAATGCATAAAGGACAAATCACTGCAAAAGTGCTGTAAAAAAAATATATATATATATATGAGGAGACAGGTATCCAAGAAAACAGAGGGTCTGCAGTTACATAACTTGGTCTCCAGCCCTTCTCCTCTAAGCCTAAAAGGGCCAGATTGAGCCCTTGAACCTCCTCTCACTACAGGCAATGATACGATTAGAAACAAACTTCTTCGGCCAGACGAGGGGCCCAAATCCAGCTTGCCAGAGCCCATCTGCAGCGCGGGGATGTGGGGCTGAGCCCCTGCTCCGCGCCCGCCCCTCGCAAGGCTGCGGCTGCAGCGCGTGCGGGCGCTCGCGCCGCCCCCGGGGGTTGTTTTGCTCCCCTGGGCTCTCAGTGCCGGTCTGGGCTCCAGCAGTTCCACAGTACCTGGTGACGCGGGTGTCGGGGCTGGGATCCTCGCGGCTTCGGTGCCAGCAGGCTTGGAAATGCAGTTCTCACATGTGGCAACACTGAGGGAAGTTTAACTTAATGACTCACTGGCACAGCTCAGAGAGAGGGGAGAACATTTTTTTTTGAAAAAAGGGAGAGAGAGAGGTGCCATTAGCAACTGCTGTTCCTTCTCTAGCACAAATAAAGCTATTTCTTTTTAAGGAACAATGTAAAGACTAAGAAAACTCATTTGTGTTCTTTTTTGAGAACCAGTGCCTTATGAAACCTGTAAATACTGTAATTAGAAAAAATAAATTGGGGAGCAAACTGTTACGTTGAATTTGTTCAAATTGTATATGGCTGTTCTAACATTCCCCAAATAAAATTGTTTCCATCTCCCCATGAAAGAGATGACTTTCGCTTTTCATTTATTCCTCACGTGTCGGAGAACAACTGCTTTTGGGATTCCTTTCACAGTTTAATTTTGACCGTGCCTCATTCCTATACACAGCTTTTAAAGACTTTTCCCTTAGGGCAAATAAAGGTGAACGATGTTGCATAAGTTTCCAGTGGCGTTAAAAAAAGAAAAAATAAATAAAAATTAGCCCTTTCCCAACGCAGTGAGGACAGCGGCAGTGACTGGACGCTGGCGCTAATGGAGCCGTCACCGGCATTTTGGGGGAGATTCTGTGAAT